GGGGGCTTCTGTGCAGATTGATAACTGGTTGATAAGTGGCATCTCCATAGGATCCTTCCATGCGGTTACCAGAGGAATCGTGGTTGTTGCCGTGGCGGGTAATACCGGACCACAACTTCAGACTGTGACCTCTGTGGAGCCTTGGATCTTCACTATTGCTGCTGGCTCCATAGACAGAGAATTCAGCAATAATATTACTCTTAGTAATGGCCAACGCTTTAAGGTCGTATCGCTTCTCTTCTTTCACATTTATTATGATGATTATTGACATTAATTATGTGTTATGATTACAGAATTAATTATATATTATGATTATTGACATTAATTATATATTGATCAGGGCAAAAGCCTTGCCACGAACTCGTCATCTCAGAGGTTAATTCCTGCGCGCCTAAGAATGAATTTCACTATTCATGATGATCTCTGTGTTATAAGCTCTCCAATGTTGCAGGAACCCATTTGCATTTATGAATAATGCAAAAACAATTATACCAGTAAGACCAGCTCCAAAAGTTTCTGCATTCTCAGCAAGGGGACCCAACATGATTTTTCCCACAATCCTCAAGGTTATCCATTCTCACATTGTCTAACTCCCCCAGTCACCAAGTATTGAACTTCTTAACATTCTTTTTTTAAAACTTTTTTACAGCCCGATGTAATTGCACCAGGCCAGGATATAATTGCTGCTTATTCACCTGTTGCAAGTCCTACAGGCCTAGATTCGGATGAATCTCACTTTGACTATAATATTCTATCCGGAACTTCCCAGGCATGTGCTCATGTTTCTGGTATTGCTGGTCTTTTAAAAAATCATCATCCTAATTGGAGTCCCGCAATGATCAAGTCAGCAATCATGACCACTGGTATAACATGCATTAGTCTCTGTTTTCGTGTTTACAGTTTGCTTGTTCTTTTTTTGTAATGAGTATAAAAAATCTATGTTGCTATAGCAAGCATACTGGATAACACCGATAGACCGATTCTGGACGAACAGGACGGTCAAGTAGCAACTCCGTTTCATTACGGCGCAGGCTTTGTCAAACCCAACCTTGCAATGGACCCTGGACTTGTTTATGATCTCCGCCCTTCCGATTACCTGAACTTGCTATGCTTTTCTGCTTACGAGGGAAGAGTAGTTGAAGCCTTTAATTATAATAGGCCATACAGATGTCCAAGGTCTTACAAACTAGAAGATTTTAATTACCCTTCTATCACATTGCCTTTTCTGGGTATGAAACCTGTAAATGTTACTCGTATGGTAACAAATGTTGGGCCTCCAAGTACGTACACTGTAAATGTCAAAGCCCCTCGAGGAGTTAAGGTAGTTGTTCTTCCAAGAACTTTGACTTTTCAGAGGACAAACCAAAAGAAGAGCTATATGGTTATTTTGCAGGCATCAAGTTTAGCCCAAACTTCAGACCCTTCATTTGGAGAGTTGACTTGGACTGATGACAAGCACAAAGTGAGAAGTCCCATAGTAATCCCTCAATATGAGAAAATGGCTATATAGAATTCAATGTGTCCAATCCTTTGTTTTTGCGAAATAGTGAGGTACTAGTGTTAATTAGTGTGTGCTCATATATGAGTCCCAAAAGAGACATCTTTGTAAATGGGGAAAGCCACGAATCTCGAACCAGATTAGCCGGATGATAGTATAAAAAAAATGTGTGCTCAGTGAGTGGATGTACTCATCTTTGTCATTTTACAATAAAGTGGCTAGCGTATTCTATAGGACCTCTCGCAACCGGCTTCTTAACTTCTGCTTTTATATTCTATACTTTATAATTTTGCTAGCTCCTTGAACTCAGCCTTGAGCCAAAAAAAAAAAAAAATGGATGCACGCACAAGGATTTCCTCACTGAGGAGCCACACAAATGTAGTGTGGTCCATTAATTAAAAAAATCTCCCTTCTAATAGGTTAGTCTTCTGAAATTGAGTTCTCCCTTTAAACTTGTATTTATAACAAAGGTGTTTTCATTGAAAGCACGATATAAACAAAAGAGTTTAAAATGACACTCTGAGAATCATATGGAATGATATATAATTGGTAATCTAAAAATTAGTCATTAATGTTGACTATAATATTTATATATAATGTCATACTATTCACATGTTGTGAAGTGCAAATAAAATAGCTCCTTTCTCAAGGCTCTAAATGTACAGGTTGCTGGTCGGGTGGGATGTAGAATAATGAAAGTTATAAATGACCAAGAAAAAGAAACAATGAAAGGAATGGGACGGATGAAATGAATCATATTTTGCATGGTATAAAAAGAAATATATGCATGTAATTTTTCAAAAGAGATTTAACCAAATCATGAGGGAAAGCACACTATGTTCCATACTCCACGCCTGATTATATTGCGGTATTGCAATTTTATATGCGCCAAACATTATTTGTTAATGGATTCCTTTTGTTTTCTTAATTTTGCGTTTCTAGGAAGATGCCAAACATGGTCACAGTCCTAACACAAGAAATCTTTACAAAATGATTTCCTTTTTTGTTTGAAAAAAGGCATACTTGGGATGCTGAGATACTTATGATGATCAATGGGCGCAAAACCCTTCGGTTGCTTTCAGAAAGAGATTGCTTTTCCAAAATATTGGAAGTTCCGTGGTGGACATATTCTACCTTTCAGGAGAATAAAAAAAATAATAAAAGCAAAATTCATAAAGTCAACATAAAATATGAAGTTTATAACGAATCGCAATTAATATATATATATATATATTGTGCTAGTCCTACATTAGGCTTTATGCAATTTTTCCAATTCTGTTATATGTTCACTTTGCCATTGGGCAGGAAAAGGTTGAACTTGGCCAACAAAATATAGTTACGATCATTTTTATTTTATTTTATATAATTTAAATACACACATAGATAAAGCTTTTCTATGTTGTACAATAAAGCTTTGGTTGTCTGCCGGCTTCTCTGGAAAAAGAATATTTGGGACCCATTTATCCTCCCACATTCCTATAGAATTTCCTCTGCCAAGGTCCCAGAAGAGGTCCTTTTTGAGAGGTAGTCTCTACCTTCTAGTATACTTGACCACCGCCAAGAGGCCTTATATGGCCATTTTTTGCATCCACAAATTCATCTTTAGGGAAGTAGACACTTTTTAACGGGTTATTCAAGTGTCTCCACGCAGTTTCAGCTAGTAGAGCACGTCCAAGCATGTGTTTCCTGGGAGAGGGGAGGATTTATTTCTGTTGCACATATAAATATTATTATTGCAATCCTCTTCAGTTACGTTCTTGCCTGCACAAAATATTATATTCTTCGATTATTTCATTGTTCATTAGGGCCTTACTTTATTTTGACATCCCTCAAATTAAAATAATCACGTCAGCGAATCCCCTATCTCATGAAAGTTTGCAACCGACCTTTAGAGAGCTCCCCTCCATGGCTCCATATGAGGATGGAAATCAGTTTGGATGAGTGATGAGCATTTAATATGATTTTATTTTCATATTTTTTATAAATATCTTTTAATAGATATATCATTTGAAATAACCACTCTGATAAAAAAAATTTATATAAAAATTTTTAAGTTAAAAATTTTAAATTCAGATTGTTAAAATCAATTTAGATGGCTCAGATCTCATACTGGGATGAAAAAGATGATCATATCCCTTGCAGGAATGCCTTGGTCTGTATAAAGCCTAGCCACGAGGATAAGATGGTCATTTTTTCTTGCCTGGCTTTTCCAATATCTCAAGCTGAGCCCCCAACCGAATGGGTCTCGGGAAATTCATCACATGCCAACTTGGGATAATATTCTTGATGCACATGGTGGTTAATTGAGAACTAGCAATTGCTGGCAAAAAGCAATTTAAAACTAAAAAAACAATTTAAAACTGGCAATTAACCTTAATTTTAAATACTCATTATATGTCGCATTCTACGGATTGTGAACATCATAATAAGAATAGCATGCTTCAAATAAACATAACATCTTTCAAACTCATTTTTTCACTAAGAAACAACACTTGGGAGATTGACTAAAACATGTAACCACATCCTAGAAAAATCCAACGTACAAAATTCGTCTCAACGACCAAATCAAGCAATAAACACAATGACAAATTTACACACAGATTCCAAAACATCACCAAATCGAAACATTTGAATACTTAAAGTTGCCACAATGTTCTAAAGCCTCATCAGAACTTCCTTCCAATCAAAGGTGCATAAGCATCGAATCAAGCGTCTGGGGTGCATGCGAGTCTTGAAAATCTGGAATCAACTAACTATTACTTCGAAAAACAAGCATCAACAAGAATCTTCTAAGCATGAGTTTCTTTTTTAAATGACAATTAACTAGCAAAAAGAAAACGCAAACTTAGACCATAAAGCTAAATGCTGCTGTTGAAACAGCAACAACATTTGATAAATGAGGAACATGAATTTAATTTGGACACCCAAATATTTTAAAGATAGATCTGGGCATTTTAATTGTGTTAGAATAAAAGATTAATATAGTTCGATCTAAACTGTTGAAATTAACATTGCATTAATACATGAACGGAGCCCTGACTTTCATTATGCATTTGATTGAGGAAGAAATAAAAAACACAATGAAATCATCATTTTCTTCAACCTGCTCTGTATTGTTTGTTTTTTCTTTAACCGTGCAGTTCTTTAGAAGAGGAGGTCCACAAAGCTCAGGATTTCCAATGTAACTCCATGTATCAAAACTCTGAATCTGAGTTCCAAGTGGAATTGGTCCGCTAAAACGGTTGTACGAGAGATTCAAAACACTCAAAAAAGATAGGTCAGACATACCCTGAGGAATATTCCCATGAAGGTTGTTATGGGATAAATCAAGAGATTCTAGATGTTTCATCGCTCTAATTTGTTCTGGTATCTCTCCTGTCAGATTATTATGAGACAAGTTTAAGGATTGTAAATTAGTGAGCTTGACTAATGGTATAGGAATTTCTCCTGATAGATTGTTAGCTGAAAGATCAATATTTCGAACCAACTTCAGAATTTTATCTTACTCTCGTTGTTGACCCTTTGTGTGCAACTCAATTTTCATGAATGCACGTGAAGTTGGGATGACATATACTGGAAAAGCTAATTCATTTGCTAAATCTCGTTCACCAGGAAATTCTAAAAAATTGGTTGTGTTGAGTAGACAAGGAGGGATTGGTCCTGAAAGTTTGTTATTGGCAAGGTCCAATACAATCAAAGAGAGACTACATAGCCGTGATGGAATGTTGCCCGTAAATTGATTGGATCTCAATTCCACAACCATTACATTTTCAGGCAACCACAATGTTTGTATACTTCCGGAGAAGTTGTTTCCTCCTAAATTGAGCAGCACCAAAAATCGGAAACTATGGAAAGTCCAAGATATATCACCAGAAAAACCGTTATGATGTAGATCTAGCGCCCTTAGATTATATAATGATGAACCCATTGTTGATGGAACTCGACCAACAAGCTGATTATTCCCTAAGTATATACAATTCAAAAGTTTCCAATTGTCCCAACAATCTGGAAGTTCTTGGGTGAGAGAATTATTTGATAGGTCCAAATACTCCAAAACAGTTTGATTACTTTCATTGTGACACAACAAAGAAGATAAAGGTCCCGAGAAAAAGTTAGAAGATAAATCCAAAACTTGGACCCCATCTGATACTCGAGGAAGCTGTCCTGTGAATTTATTAAATGACATAAATACCTTCAAACCTGATAGCCAGAAGCCCGATATATGCTTTCTAATTGGGCTGTGAGAATTATTATGGCCAAGGATTTTTGGGAGTGTACCACTCAACTCATTGAAGCTAATATCCAAATATCGTAAAGATGATGATTCGTTTACGATATTAGAAGGAATAGAGCTGTTAAATGAGTTATTAGATAGATCAAGGTAACTTAATTCATCAAGCTGGCCAAGCCAATCAGGTATTGATCCTTCAAGTTTATTGTTAGATAGATCTACGAAATTCATATTTCGATAGCCTGAAAAGTCTGGAATTTGACCTCTCAAGTTGCATTGACTGAGATGAAGATCGGAGAGATCTTTGCTGAGATTGAACAACCAGTTAGGTAATCCATGTCCAAAATCATTTAGATCAAGACCAAGATATGAAAGTGAGCTAAAATTGGCATATGGGAGAGATTGAATAGAGCTGGTCAAATTACAATCATACAAATATAATCTCTCCAGAGGTAGCAAAGCCAACGATTGCACCCAATTTGTTTCACTAGGAAGATGAATACGACTGAGATCGAGAGCTGCTAAGGCAGGAAGTCGAGAGGGCCAATGATGAAGATTATCAATGTGAAGATGAATGTTGTCTGATAAACTCAGTTGAGAAAGCTTAGAAGAATTTGCTGGCAAATGACTTCGAGTTGCGAAGGAATTATTGATAGACGGAATGGTTATGCGTTCAAAGTCATTGGAGTCCAAATACAACACTTCAAGAAATTCAATTGCAAGTAAAGAAGATAAGTTGATTTCACCTCTCAAGGATGTTAGATGATTGTAGTTTGACAGATCAAGAGCTGCGACTCTATTGTCGTAGTCACATGAAACTCCTTCCCATTGACAGCAATCTCGGAGAGTGGACCAAGAAGAGAGGCAGTTGGAGGGATCAACAACGCCTTGTTTGAAGCTTAACAGTGAACGTCGATCCCTCTCATGGCAGCAAATGATTGTGTTGAATCTTACTGCACATAGCAACACCAACAAAATGAGACATATTTGTGATGTGAAACGAAGAATGATCATGATGGTTGTTTGATTAAGAGACGAAGTAGCGATGAAATCTGTTTCTTCAAGTGAATGCTTGTTATATATCTATAGCAATGTTTATATATGGTGAACTTGTGTTTGGTTATTTATTTCAAGGGAGAATTACATGACTTTTTTTTTTTGTAATGTTGTTGAAACTATATTTTTTTGGGGAAAAATTTTACGTACAGCGCGCTAAAATTTTTAAAAAATATATTGCACGAATTTTTTCCTCCAATTTTTTTTCACAAATTTCTCTTTATTTTCAAAATCTATAAAAATATTCCAAAAAAAGCAAAAGATAAAATACACGGACTTGTTTTAAATGGTATTCAAGATTTAATTCCCTTCTATTTTCATGATAAGTTACTTTTGAAAGTGGAGACTGGATAGGAGGTTTTTATGATTAAAAAAAAATTGAAGATTGATATGATGATTATTATCTTTGTTTTAAGGAAGGTATAAAAGCACTTAAAAATAAAATGCGTGTTTGTATAATTTTAGCAAAATTTAAGAGAATTTACATTAATTCTCAAAAATAGAAGAAAAACTCTGCGTAATTTTCTCAAAATACAAGAAATATTTGCATAGCTTACTCTTTCTTGTTTTTTTCTCTTAACCTTTTCACAGAAGTCTTCCAACCTTTTTTTCAAGTCTTCCGAGCTTCTTTTCCTCGTATTTGCCGCAAATCCAAAATGATCGTCTCTCCCTATAAAAAATGGGAAGATATGAGAAAAACAAAAGTAAATGACACAGTGGGGGAAAGAAAGTAATCCTTGTTAGTGGAGTAGTAGTTGATGACTCACTTTTGTAATAAAGTACTCATTACAAAGACGTCCACGACATAAAGCCAACGCAAGCATAGAAATTGGAAAAGGGTTCAGCTAGTTAACTTTGTCTCAGGATCCCTTCCCATTGCTTTTGAATTACTTTTTCTCAAGAAATTGCTATGAAGTGGCCGTGATAGTTATTAGTTAATGCCCGCATTAGTCCATGACAAATTTTTAAGTAGTGAAATATTCTGCCACCTCAAGAATGCTACCTCTCGTTCTATGGAAGAAGTATTTGGATGAGCATGGTTTTATTTAACTAATTTCTTATTTTTATATTATCTTCATTATATTGATTAATCATTTATTCTCTGTTTTTTTTTGTGCCAGACATACACTCTCTCTCTCATACTTTTTCTGCTCATTCTCTTTTTTATGAGTGATATTTTTTTTTGAAAAAATATTTTTATTTATTGCCTTTAATTCTTTTTTGGGCAATATTTATTGTCTTTAATTCAATATACAAGAAATACAAGCAATATTTGTATAGGTTACTCTCACTCAAGATGCCATACTTTTTCGAGTCTTATTTTTTTTTTTTTCCACAAATGTCTTCCCACCTTTTTGCCAAGTCTTCCTATCCCCTTTTTTTTGGCCATCAAATCTTCCGACCTTCTTTCCAATATCTTTGCTCCAAAGTCTATCACTTTTTCTTTTTGTACACGGATTTTTTTTATTTTCATTTTCAAAAAATAGAATAATATAAAATTATAATAATATAAAATTATAATACAAACATCTAATGTTCTGAAGTATTTTTTTAGTAGCATTCAGTATTGCTAAACTAATTTTTTTCGTATCCAACACCTTGAAACATTTTTCAATAACACTCAGTATGAATGAAAAATAAATTTACAATATTGAATGTCACTGAAAAATTATTTCAGGATATTAGATATCCATCCCCCAAAGCCAAAAGGGATGGGCACTCTTTGCTCATCAATTTGATGAGCAGGGAATGAGCACTCGAAAACTAAGTGAAATTTGCTTTTGGAGACAATACTCCTAACAAACTTGTTCTTTATGGCTACGAGCGTTCTCTCTGAAAGCGGTGGAAGGGGTGGAGCGTCGGAAGAGGGGGACCTGACCAAACGGCGCCGGAAAAAATACAAAAAAGTGGGTAACGACACTGAGGAAAATCTGGAGACGGAAAAGAGTCAAGCGACGACTGAATCCTTCAAGGATAAGCTGGTTGGCACTGAACAGGTGGCAGTTTCAAGTGATAATAAGGGTAGCAGAGTGTTCGAAGATGCATGGAATGACTACCTCGACAGCATCAAGAGCTATTTCATCGGAGAAGACAATGGGCAAGACCATTCTGAGGAAACTGACGAAGACTGCCCAACGCTCAAGGTGCCCAGGGAGGACTACGAACGGTGGTGTGCACCATGGCGGAAATCGCTTATTATCAAACTCCTTGGGAAGACCATACCCCTCTGGTTAATGAAATCCAGCCTGGCACGTTTGTGGAAGACCACGCATTCCTATCAGACAAGAGATCTAGACAATGGGTTTTATGTGGTATCCTTCGACGATGAAGATGACATGAATAGTATCTATCAAGGAGGACCGTGGATGATCGCTGACCACTACCTCATCGTCCAAAGATGGAGACCGAATTTCGATCCGTGGGAAGCCGAGATTCAGAAAAAGATTGCTGTGTGGGTTCGTATACCACTACTCCCATTAGAATTCTTCAATATAGAGAGCCTACGAATGATCGGAAAACTGATTGGAAGGACGCTGAAAATTGATATGATCACACATACAAGTGAGAGAGGTAGGTTTGCTCGTATATGCGTTGAACTGGACCTCAAGAAAAAACTCAAGTCAGCCATTAATGTATTCGGGAAGAGACGTATCCTGGGCTACGAAGGTCTTCACCTAATCTGCTTTCATTGTGGTAAATACGGACACCACAAAGATGCATGTCCGGACAGATGCAATATGGCGAACGGGAACGCCACCACCTCAACTCACGGAGATCATGGCTCGACTAAGGACGTCGGAAAAATTAACGTCGACTTAAATGATGTCCCAAAGGAACCCCCAGCTCTTCCCAAAGTGAACGTGCATAACGTGTCAGAAAGCGGAATCCCAAAACGCCCTTGTGACTTGGCGACTGCCGGAGAATACACCGGAAAAGAGAAACAGCCACAGACGGAGGGGCTTGGAGCTTGGAATATTGTCCAACGGTCGAAAGGAAGCAAAAAAGGAAACTACAACAGATCCGGATCTGGCATTAATCATCAAGAAAATAATCAGCAAAATCCCCAGAGATCATCACAGCTGCGCGACCTTCGTGGAACAAGAAATATGGGAATCCCAAATCAGCAAGATACAATTAGATTCTCTCCAATGAGCACCAAACATTCCCGCCAATTTGGGAAAGAAATCAATGGTCAAACTTGTCAAACTGGGAAGGAATCACAAAGCAACTTCAAGTGGGTCCCAGTGAAAGTGAATAACCAATCCAAAAACAAGACGAATGGCAAGAAAGAGAGTACCCCTCCTGGCGGCGTGCACACTAATTCGCAGATCCATGGCATCTCGTCACCTAAAGCTAGCTTTTGGCAGGCACACAATCCATTTGAAGCCTTAATGGACCTAAATGACAATGGTCCAATTGTAGTAGATAATCTGAATCCTTCAGAACAGTTCAGCAAGAACGTGCATGAGGATACTATCATGGAACAGGGCATGGCGTCGACTCCAAAATCGAAAAGCACATGGGCAAACGACAACGCGGATAAGAACGCTATGCAAGAGCTCACTGTTGATCTAGAAATGGCACAAATCCACGAGCAACAAGAAAATCTTTCTCACTCACTGGGGCCTATAAGCAAGAATACCCCTCCATTCGGTACCCCATGAACTATATCTTCTGGAATTGCAGGGGCACTGGGTCCAAATCGTTCCCTGGACTCATGAAGGAAATCAAAAAACGATATAATATCGACTTTTGCGCCTTGTTCGAAACTAAAACCAGTGGAGAAAAAGCAAGAGATATCAGCAAAAAACTGGGTTTTAACTTCTACAAAATTGTTGATGCAAGAGGCTTTCGAGGAGGCATATGGGTCCTCTGGAATAATGAAGATTTTACTGTATCTATTGTGGAAGCTAATGAACAATATATTCATGCTACAATAGATCGTGGCAGCGATAAGATGTTCATTACAGCAGTCTATGCCTCTCCCAACGCTATTGATCGCCGAACTCTTTGGGCCCAACTGGAAAGAATAAACCCAGGAAATGAATGGCCATGGTTCATAGGAGGAGATTTCAATGCAACCCTCTTCTCAAATGAACGTCGTTCCTTAGCTATGAGAACGACCCCTGTTGACCGAGAATTCTTCAAGTGGGTAGAGGACATGGAACTCTCTGACATGGGCTTTGCAGGCCCCTTCTTCACATGGAAAAGAGAAGGATGTCACAGTAGAATCGATCGAGTTTTATGTAATGCTAAGGCTCATTCTACTCTCCTTGACGCAGTAGTGAAGCACCTCCCTTGGTTTAAGTCAGACCATCGCCCACTGATGCTCCAATTAAGGCCAGGTATGAATCCTCACCATGCTAATACTCGCCCTTTTCGTTTTAACGCTCCTTGGGTGCTACATGATGATTTTAGCAGGTTTGTCAAAGAAAAATGGGAAGATAAAGGTAATTGGATTGATAATATTAAAAACTTTACTGATAAACTCGTTGACTGGAGCAAGCACACTTTTGGCCACTTGGGCCGCAAGAAGAGCCACTTGATGGGGAGATTGGAAGGAATATCAAGAACCATATCTTCCTATGGCAGTACTTCGTCCCTTGAGCAACTCCAACATCAATTGTGGCTCGAATTGGAGGAAGTGCTCCTGCAAGAAGACCTGCTATGGGCTCAAAAAGCCAAATGCGAGTGGTACACACTTGGCGACAAAAACTCCAAGTTCTTTCATAATAGAGCCAATGGGCGAAGAAGAAGAAATAAAATTGAAGCAATCCAGCAAGAAAATGGGGAGTGGACGGACGACACAAGCACCATCAAACAAACTGCCACAAGCTTCTTCAAGAATCTATTCAGTGATGATGGTAGTGAAACTCCTCTCCATTCTGGTAATGTTTCCTACCCTACTCTTAATAATGTCCAAATTGAGAATCTTAGAAAAGATGTTTGCAATGAAG